AGAATATCAACAAAGGCCATACAACAACAACAAAAACATTTTGTCTTGGTACTTGGCACTAGGTTTACATGTCGGCCAACGATGGCATATCCGCAGTGTTTCTTTTGTTTTGACCCTCGTGCCACGCTTTTCGAATTGTCCTTTTCATTTCATCATCTCCCTCTTCATACATCTGCTTCATCATGTTCATCAGCGAAGCCTGTGGATCGTCATCCATCGATTTTTCATCGAACTTTGGTTTTCTGAACGCTCGTAGGTGACGTTGACAGAATACTTCGAAGTTGCAAAAAATATCCTTACCTTTTCTGTTTCTCATCATATTCTAATTTCGTAAGCTGTTCCCATTTCTTCCCTTCTGTTTTCTTCTTCATCATTACTAAGAGCATATCCTGCTTCTGCTGTAAACGAGCAACACATGAGAATAAAATCTAGATTCAGATAGTTTACAAGCCGTGGTGTTCAGATTAGTAAGCTATTCCCTCCCATACTTTACAACTTGCCCTCTCTGCCCAAACATGTAATTTACGGAAAAATGGACAAGCAAGAAGAGATATAGTTTGAAGTGATATCAAATCTTACAGAATCATATCCATCACTCAAATCATCCTTTTGAAAATGGAGTACTATCTATGAGCTTTTATGTGATAAACTGATTCATGCAGAAATATTTTGCCAAGAATACCATTTACTTCGAAAAAACAGTGAAGAGGATGGACGCCAACAAGAAACGATCCATAAAACAATCAAAATACGGTCTCCCAAAAATGTCCCTACAATTCAGTTGTTGATATCTGTCGTGCCTCACTGTCTATTGGAGATTTTTAGGTACCATTCTGTAAATCTGCTATAGAATTACAAATGAATGGTCATGTCGAAGAGGCTACATTCAACAAGTTGCATGGTAACAACATAAACGCGACTCTAAATGTGTCTTCCTTATCTGCTAAGTGCTTCTGTGAACGAAGCTATAAGAAATCATAATTCATTATATTGCTGAAAAAATCGTGCGCACAAAGTGCAAAGTGCAAGACGAATATAGAGTCAG